GTTTGTACTATATATATATTATATATATATATACTTATATATATATATATATATATATATATGTTTGTTATGATCCTTTCATATGCATCCCACATGTGTTCAACTATTTCTATATATTAATTATACACTATTTCTTGACAATGTCTCCTGCACTGTCCAGGGCACATGGTTCTTTGATGTGCATCCTCCGTTGGGCAAGCTAATGTTCGCCGCAGCCGGCTGGTTGGCTGGTTACGACGGCTCCTTCTCATTCAAGGTACGATAGTTTGTTAAGGTTTTGACGTTTGTAAACTGTCATTATATCTGGGTCTAAGACGGACACACAAACACACACACACACACACACAAGTGAGTAGCACATACTAAAAATGCTGGCAGTACTTCTATCTTTACTTGATATTCTTATCCGGAAATCGTACGAGCACTTCGGCAAAGCATTTAGATATTACATACTATAAAGTATTTCTATCTGATCTATATTTCAACATGCTTAACATATATTTCTATCTGATCTATACTTCAACATGCTTAATGTATACTTCTATCTGATCTATACTTCAGCATGCTTAACATATACTTCTATCTGATCTATACTTCAACATGCTTAACAGGAAATCCATATGGACTATTTAAAACACGACGTACCGTACGTGGCAATGCGAATGGTGTCCGCAATCTCTGGGGCTATGCTTGTTCCTCTGGCCTATAAAACACTGTAGGTGCAGTTTTAAAATAGTGCATGATATGTCGCAAATTGAACAGTCTGTCTAACACTGTGTGTGGTGTGGTGGTACACCGCTGTTTCGCAAAGTGTTTGTATATTTGACACTGTGGGTAGAAAGGGATTTGACACAAAATGTAAATGTCGCAAAGTACGCATTCTGTTTTGTAATTGTTTGAATCGCACCGCAAAGTGTGGCAGTAGTTTAAAACACCGTGTCGCAAATTATACATTCTGTCTCGTTCCTTGCGTGCAACATAGCGAGTACGATGTCGCAAAGTGCCAACCCGTATATTATATAATCATCTTATATAAGGTGTACGAGGTTTGTTACTTTTATATCTTCCCTGCCGACATGTGTGTATGTGCATGCATGCATACTTCCATTTGTATCATTTCGCTTGGCCAGTGCATCCTCTGTGCGAACTGATCCCTCGAATGTGCTGACACTTTACGAGGCTTATCGTTTGCCAAACATATACCTGAATTTAAAATATATACCTGAATCTAAAATATATACCTGAATCTAAAATATATACCTGAATCTAAAACATATACCTGAATCTAAAACATATACCTGAATCCAAATCATAAACATACGCACAAACCTCTGATCGTACAGGCAAACACAAGGACATAGCTTCTACGGATGCTTCATTGCCGCTGTGCTAGTACTGCTCGACAACTCATTGTTGACTCAATCTCGATTCATCCTATTAGGTTTGCATGTATTCATATATATACTACACATATATGCATATGTACATATACATAAGTACATATATATATATTGTGTGTGTGTATGTTTCTAAGTTGTACATGGGTGTATACATACGCATATATATACAAAGTGTGTGTGTATATAATTTTAAGATAGATGTACATTCCGTGTACCTCCATATGTTGTTGTTGTGCATGGTACCAGATATGTGTCTCTTCATATCATGTGTGCTTATGTTGCGCATATATGCTGCATGGGTGTGCAAGTATCTATCTTTATATATGTTGTGCCTGGTAGCAGGTTTTATATCTAGACATGTGATGTGAGCGTGTATTGTAAATTTCAAACATGTGTTTACTTAGCTATCTTTTTTGTGCTGATATATACATATATTCACAAACACATGAATATTTATACACACATACACACGCACACATATATATAAATACACACACACACACACACACTCTCTCTCTCTCTCT